TCCTACATTTTGGGAGGAATGGCCCTGATGGCTGTGATTCCTCAATTCCAGGAGAAATTATTTTGATGGCTGATTGCTGTTTCAATGAACAAATGGTTCTGAGCCCTCTCCCCAGGGGGAATGGCTCTGATCCCTCCATCCTGGGGGAATGGTTCTGATGCCTCTGATTCTTCCATTCTGGGTGGCTCTGGTGCCTCTGTCTGAGGAGAAATGGCTACGATGGCTTTGATTCTTTCATCCCAGGAGGAATGGCTTTCGTGACTCTGATTCCTCCATCCCAGAGGAATGGCTCTCATGGCTCTGATCCCTCCATTCTGGGTTGCTCTGATTTCTCCTCCCAGAGGAATGTCTCTGATGACTCTGGTCCGTCTGTCTGAGGAGGAATGGCTCTAATCCCTCCATTCTAGGTTGCTCTGATTCCTCCATCCCAGAGGAATGGCTCTCATGGCTCTGATCCCTCCATTCTGGGTTGCTGTGATCCCTCCATCCCAGAGGAAGGTCTCTGATGACTTTTATCCCTCCCTCCCAGGTTATCAAGCTCCAGACAAAATTGACAGCAAGTTCTTTGACCCCAAATACGCCTTCAAGGACGTGGAGGTCCCCACCAAGTCYGTCAGCGAGCTGGTCAGCAAAAAGAAGCCCAAGGTACAAGCAGGGCCAGGCACAAGTGGGATTGGGCTTGAAGGATTGGGGATAATAACCCAAATTGTTCAGGAAGGGGAAAGATTTGGGGATGGAAAGTGTTGGAAGAGCTAGTTTGGGGGAGGTTTTCAATCTGAAAGTTGTGCAGTGTTGAAGTGGGGATTGTGGGGCTGGGGATGGGTTTGGCTATGGGCTTTGTGTCTCTCCGAGTTGGCTTTGGGGCAATAAATCCGTGCCAGGTGGCCTCAGCTGGGCATGGAGGTGACACAAAACTGTCACTGTCAGCTTTGGTGTCTGAGGTGGTTTGGGGATGTAAATCTGTGCCAGGTGGCCTCAGCTGGATGTGGAGGTGACACAAACCCGTCACTGTCCGCTCTGGTGTCTGAGCTGGGGCTGGTCACTTGACCCAGCTCATGTGAAGGCTGGAAAAGACCTCCAAGGTCACCAAGTGCCACCCTCAGACAGGTTTAGGTGAGCACTGCAGCAAGGTGTGAGCTTGGTGAGCCCATCCACTCATCAGGGCTGGTGGCAGCTCCTGTCTGTGCCCTGCCCTGTGTCTCACTGCCCCTGTCCCCCCCAGGCTGAAGGCTACGCCGAGGGTGACACCACCCTGTACCACCGCTTCACCCTCATGGACTTCCTCAAGGCCCCCAACCCTGTGGACTTCCTCTCTAAGGCCAACGAGGTGTGGGCCTGGAATGGCTCCCTGTCTATGTCCCTGTGTCTGTCCCTGCTCCTGTCCTCGCCACTGTCCCTGCCCCTGTCCCTGTACCTGTCCTGGTCCTGGTCCCAGTCCCTGTCCCTGTCCCTGCCTTCGTCCTTGCCCCCCTGTCCCTTTTCCAGTCCTGGTCACTGCTCCTGTCCCTGTCCCAGGGAGGGCAGGCTGGGGGTTCACTCCCTGTCCCTGTCCCGGGGAGGGCAGGCTGGGGGTTCACTCCCTGTCCCTGTCCCTAACCCGGGGAGGGCAGGCTGGGGTTTCACTCCCTGTCCCTGTCCCTGTCCCTGTCCCTGTCCCTGTCCCTGTCCCTGTCCCTGTCCCTGTCCTGGGGAGGGCAGGCTGGGGGTTCACTCCCTGTCCCAGGGAGGGCAGGCTGGGGTTTCACTCCCTGTCCCTGTCCCTGTCCCAGATCACGCTGGGGGATGGTGAGCTGGAGAACCACAGCTCCACCACAGAGGAGCTGCGCCAGTGCTGCAGGGACATCCGAGTGCTGGGTCGCAAGGAGCTCAGGTGCCAGGGGACACTGGGACAGCCCAGCSCCAGCTGGGCCTGGGGACAGCCACAGCCCCTCGCTGGGCCTGCTGGCTGGCCCTGACTGCTGCCACCCCACCCAGGGCCCTGCTGAACTGGAGGACCAAGCTGCGGCGGTTCCTGGCCAAGAAGCTGAAGGAGCAGGCGAAGGAGCTGGATATCAAGTAGGACATGGGGTGGGACTGTCCCCAGGGTGGGATGAGGCTGTCCCCAGGGTGGGGATGGGACTGTCCCATGGGATGAGGCTGTCCCCAGGGTGGGGATGGGACTGTCCCATGGGATGAGGCTGTCCCCATGGTGGGGATAGGACTGTCCCCAGGGTGGGATGGGGCTGTCCCATGGCATGGGGCTGTCCCG